CCCATTTGTCCTGAAATCCATGGATCCCTTTGGAGAGGCAGCTTTTGGGATGAAAAGCTTGCTCTCCACATGGATTTTCCACATGGATTTTCCACATGGACTGTCCCCTTTGTCCACAAATCCACGGATCCCTGTGAAGAGGCAGCTTTTGGGGTGAAACCTTTGCTTTTCCTCCTTGTCCACAAATCCACGGAAGCCTTTGTGGAGGCAGCTCCATGGATTTTCCCCTTTTCCCACTTCTCCAGCCCCAGCCAGTTTTGTTGGGATGCAGAGGGAGCTTTGCAAGGCAAATGAGGGCGAGCTCTGCTCCGCAGGGAATGTTTGAATCCCAAATCTTAGGGAATGTTTGAATCCCAAATCTTAGGGAATGTTTGAATCCCAAATCTTAGCTTTGGATTTGCTTTTCCTTTCCTTGTTAAACGTCCCTTTTTTCCCCCCTGGAATCCGAGGGGAGTTTTTCCCAGGATCAAGGAGAGCCCATCACTCCATTTCCTCTTGGATTTTGGTTTTCCAAGAGTGTGGCTGAACCCCGGGAGCCCTTTGGAAAAGGGAAGTGCTGGGCACAAACGTCCCGGTGGAAGGGGTGAACTGGGATAAACCACTGGGTTTTTGGGAAATTCCTGGGAGTGGAATTCTGCCTTCCCAGCAAACCAAGGGGGAAAAGCTGCATCTCAAGGGGGAAACCACCCCGAGCTCTCCTGGGAATTGTGGTGGGTCAGGGAATGATCCTGTGGCCGAGCAGGGAACAGATCCCGGGGTTTTTGGGATGGTTCCTCCTCCATCCCACCCTGTGGAGAATCCCAGGATGAACTGGGATGGAAGGGACCTTAAGGATCATCTCATCCCACCTTCCACCATCCCAGGTTGCTCCAGCCTGGCCTTGGACACCTCCAGGGATGGGAATTCCATGCTCTCTGTCCAGAGGAAGGACAAACCCTCTCGGCTCCTGCTCCACCATTCCCACCCTCCCACATTCCCACACCTTTCTCGGCCTCTTCCTCTTTCGTTTCTGCTCCTCTCGAACCTTCCCATCCCCCCCTTTTTTTTTTTGTGTCTTTTTTGTTCCTTGTTTTTTTCTCCCTCCCGAACTCCCAGGGCAGGAACGAGCTCTGGCAAAGCCCTTTGTGCGAATCCCGCTCCTCTCCCGGGAATTCCGGCTCAGCTGATCCCCGCTCCCACCTCTCCCGGGGAAAGGGGGGATTTCTCTTTGAAACTCGGGATTATCGCGGGTTCCTTTGATTTTTTTTTTTTGAACCTGTTTAATCCCGGAGCAGGAAGCGCAGCCCCGGATGCGCCTTTGGGAGGGACAGGGTGGGGATGGACTTTGGCCTTTCCGCCTCATTCCCACCGGGAAAAACAGCCCGTTTGGGAC